GGCCGCCGTGGGGGGGGCGCTGGAGGCTGAGGCCCGCCGTGCCCCCTTTGCCACCTGTGCCTGCCTCCTGGACCGCGGCCAGCGCCTGGCTCTGGGACCCGCCGGAATGTGCCTCACCCCTGGGGCTCTCCGTGTCCAGGCGGCCTGATGCCTAGGGCCCCGCCTGGTCACGGACAGCAGGGGAGGACTGGGCGCCCCGCACGCGCACAGGGCCCGGCCTCCCTCTGCGGCCGGCGTGTGAGCTCCACCTCCGTCTGCCCTGGCCCCTCAGGAGGGCGGGCACCGGCCCCTCACCTCGGCAGGCCCCGCCCATGACCTCAGGCTGCGCCCAGGCAAGGGTGTGGGGCCCCCTCAGGGCGGTGTGGGGTGCCTGGGCCTCCCCTCAGAGTGATGTGGGGTCCCTGGCCCCCCGTAGAGCCCCAGTGGGCCTGCCTGCTGGGCAGCACGGGGGAGCCCTCGGCCTTCCTGCTTCGGGGTGGTCTCCCACGCGGCCAGCCTGTGCCCGGCCCCGGGCACCCCACCGGCCCTGGGGTTGCATCCTGTGCAGCTTCGGCCCCTCACGGCCTTTCTCTGTCCTGCAGGTGCTGGGCTTTGAGATCGACGCCGTGAACTCTGTCCAGTTTTCCAACCACACAGGTAAGGTGTCGCCCTCCCCCGAGATGCCCCCGGGCGCCGCCGGCCCTGGGGGCGACTGGGGTGGCAGTGCGGAGCCCGCAGTCTGCCCCTCCGGAGCAGGCCCCCCAGGCGTCGGGCGCTGCCGCCTCAGCCTCCATCTCCGTGGTCACCAGCGCCGGGTGGTGCCGGGGGCACTGAGGTGTGGGTGCGCGCGGCTCTCCTCTGTTGAAGCCCAGGGCGGGGCTGGTGCTGCAGGGGCCCTGGAACGGGCTGCTCGCTGCCCTCCCAAGCCCCGAGTTCTGGGCGCTCCCCACGGCCCTGCCCCAGGTGCCTGCTCTGGGACCCCACGAGACAGGAGAACCAAATGCCGGGTTCCGGGAAACCTCCCCCCCAAGTCACCCCGCGCGTCCCAGTAGCAGATGGGGCCCATCTGGTACGCAAAGGCCCCCCTCGGCCTCGGCCCAGCCTGGGGCTCCGGAAGGCCTC